AGTGATACTGCCTCGGAAACCCAAGGAGGGGTTGCTATGAGTCGGGTTTGACTCGACGGCACATAACAACAACAACAACAACAATAGTTGTGTGATTGAGCAAACATACACCTTGAGAACTCATGTCTATTTGCAGCAAATATTTATCAAATAGTTAATATGTGTAGGGGCAGTGGTTGTTCTGTGACAGTATTCTCGCTTTCCATACAGGAGACCCAGGTTCCACTCCCAGCCAGTGCACCTCATGCTCACCCACCTCCCATCTGTCCCTAGAGAGTTGTGTTTTGCTATGATGCTGAACAGGCTTTCTTTTCAATTCCCAGAACATCCGAATGATTTATTCAACCTTTCACTAAACACTCAGGGCCCACTCTGCTCACCGTCCAGAGAATCCAAACAGAGAAAAACTCTGCCCGTGTGGAGCTTACATTTGAGTGTAAATCTACATCCTCTGATAGACAGAGATGTCTGTGAAATGCTGTTAAGTATTTTGTGTGGAAACAATTTAAATTCAGATATAGTCCAAATGCAATAATGTAGCTGGTCCTCACAAAGGAAATATTGAGCTAAAGAAGCCAAACTCAAAAGAGAGAGTGCATCTGCAAGAGTGTGTTTATATGAAGCAGAAAACACGCAAAACTAAGCTATGGGTGCATTCAGTTTATGAAAATTCAAGAGTTGTATGTGTATGTTGTATATATTGTTGCACTTTGTTAAAATGTTAAGAAAAATATTCAAATAAAAACACAGAAATGTGTAATAAATACTAATAGATTGTTTCCAGATTAACCATCCACTAAGAAAAACTTCTTTGCTTTCTTGCACAGATCATTTAGAAATCACTATGTTGTTGTCGGTTGCTGAGTCAATTCCAACTTACAGCCACCCTGTGAGACCCTATCCCGTAGGGTTTTCTAGGCTGTAAGCTTTATGGAGCAGATTGCCAGGTCTTTGTCCTGTGAAGTTATGAGGTGCATTCAAACCACCAACCTTCTGGTTAACACCTGAGTACTTAACTGTTGTGCCACCAGGGCCCTAAGAAATCACTGTTTGGTGGTACAGTTCGCACTTGACTGCTCACCCAAAGGTTGGTGGTTCAAGCCCAACCAGCAGCACTGCAGAAGAAAGCCATGGTGATCTGCTTCCATAAGGATCACAGCCATGGAAAACCCTGTCTGTTACACGGGGGTCGCTGTGAATGGGTTTCAGCTCAATGACAATAACTTTGTGTATTTGAATAAGTCGATTGCAGTAAGCCTGTTTTTCAACTGGGAAACAGTTAACCAAAATCTTCAGAATTAACACTGCTCACGCACTCTGTCTCAATATATAAAGATCCACCTGTTTCAATGTGGTGATGTTTTTGGAAAACTAGGTCTGTTAGGGGTAAACTTTAGTACTTTCTGGAATTATCCCTCAGAGAAACAGAAAATGAGTCTTCCTGCCAGAAGATAAACATCCAAAAACTCTTCCCTTGACTTGCTGTTAGCCATTTCAACAGAAAAGTTGGGTTTTGCACCGATGTGGTTGCCTTCAGTGTGAATGGAAATAGCTATCAATGAATGCAGACTGATGCAGAATGAGAGGAGTCCGAGAAAGAAGGATGTATGTGTCTGTACACCCATGTGCTCCAGGGTCTTTTCTCTAAGATTACGTGAAGAGATCTTTAGAAATTACTCTTTTCTCCATACACTTTTATGAAACTGAAGGAAATTTTTGCCAACCATTCCCAAAATTTAATTTATTAGAAACTGAAAAAAACAAAAACCAAACTCACTGCCATTGAGTCGAATCTAACTCATAACAAGTCATGAGGCTGTATGTCTATGGAAGTAGATCGTCCAGTCTTCCTTCTGAGGGGCTGGTAGCAAGATATTTTTTCTTTGCTTAAATAATTCTTTGTCTGCTGGCAAGAGTAGGGAAATGAGCAGCCTTTCAGTGTATAGATGAGAACCCTTCCTTAAAATGGGCATTTACTGAAGAGACAGTCATTTGAGGGAGCTGCTTTTTAAAAATGTTTAAAATATGCCCTTGCAATGTTCTTATTTTGTTGCTAATTTGATCTTTGTCTTTGCTTTATCAGACATACTTAAATTTAGGGGGTTATATTGTAGGGTATACAACTTTATAGATCTATATCATCAATAGAATATAAAAGATAGGGAAACACTTTGGGTTTTCAAGTTACGGAATATCGTCCAAGTCTGGTTTTAATTAAGACTGCCAGTTTTCTAGGAATTGTGGTTTTTGTCAAATGCATGCAGGAAGCACTCTGGAGCTCTGGATTGCTTTCAGAAAACTGCAGAAACACTCTTTGATGTCATTTGTGCCAATGCATTAACACATCAGGGTCAGTAAGTGTATATATGCTGGGCATCCATTATAGCCAGAAATGAAGGTATGAACAGTTTAACTGTTTGTGAATGAGCATAACATAGTTTTCCTTTTGTTTTTTTAAGCTGCCTTCTCCAAACCTTGTGGGTTGCACCTAAGCCTTTTTGTGTTTATATCGAACGATTCTTTCTTTGTGGGTAGTACGGGGATTATTTTTATTTCTCCCGTGGGCTTTAATACACGTTTTGCATTCTGTAAAAATGTCAAGCTCTTTTCTTCATTTTAAGCAGCTAATGAATATTGCAAATTGTATAATGACACTTCTCTTCCAGTGAGATCAACAAAGAAGTTTGGCACACATAAATTTCACTGCAAGTTTTTATTTCCAGCTTGGTTACAGCATTAACTTTTCTTTCTTACCAGCCCTCTAATTTTGTATTTGGTCTTATAGATACGGTCCGAGAACTCCTGTGTCTGATGACGCAGAGTAAGTTGTCTTTTATTCGTAGGATTACATTAATTACTAGCCTAAACTGCATGCTTCCAGTACTTACCACTAATTGAAATGGAATTGATGCAACAGTGAACTGAATAGCTAACTGACTCGTGCAGCTTCAGAAAAGCACTTGAACTTGGAATGCAGAACATATGTTCTATGCAGGAGAGATGAATGAAAAAAGCAATTTAAGCATGATTCTAATATGCAGCTGCTGCTTAAAACTTACCATTTGCTTTTCATAGACCGGACATGTGACAGTCATTCTTGTTACAGTTGGGACATTGGTGCTCCTTCTGAGCCATAGAATTATTCTAAAAGGTTTACTGAGTCTTGCACTTCATTCTTGACGAGTTGGGGCTTAGAGTTAACAATGAAGCCGTCATTCCCATAGCCACATTTTTTCATTAACTAAGAAAATAAACCCTCAACCACTAATTATACATTCAGAAGCCCAAGTTCCTCCCAGGTTGGAGTAACATAAACTGCGGGATGCTTGAGACCAAAACGTTGGGGTTTTTTTGTTCAAGTTCCGTGGCATAGCAAGGGGCCAAGGATGTAACACATGGCTTGGCCTTCTTCCCCCTGGCTACTTGGTTTTCATTGCTCTCAGAGATTCATTTTGCATCCTTCCCTTACATCCAAATTTGGGAAGACTCCACTCCTTCCTATTTGGGACCACATTAACTCTCCAAATCTAAAAATGGATCTTCCATGCCAGTCATTCTGCAACTGAAATACAAGGTGGAAGCTTTCGTTACAGTGTATGAGCTTGCTCCGATTTCACTAATTTGTGCTTTAGGAAACATGATTAATATCAAATTCCAACATCAGTTGTCTGCTGAGTGGCTGCCTGGAGGCTGTCTTTTCTTTGAGAGGCATTTTGTGGCCTTGCAGGAGCCTGAACCATCGGAAGAGTGACCACCAACACTTATACTGTCCTTCTTTGCCTGGGCCGTAGTTTTAAGTCATAGAACATAGGGACGTGGGAGATAGAAATTAGGATGTAGAGCACACAAATACCTTGGGTGGCTATGAGATTAGGCAAAATACTGTTTTTGAATTATGCTTTTTCCATGTTTGTGTTCAAGATACCAGCTTAGTTTGCACTCTTAGCCCTAAGCTAAGAGTCTGACTCCAGTGCCAAGATACCCATTCCCAATGTGTGCTCTATTATTAGTTTGCGGTCCTGAGTACAGAACATTCGTGTCTCAAAACCAAATTCGGCCTGAGCTCAACTGATGACATGGAGTTAAGTCATTTGTAAACTTGAGCCCTGGTTATTACTTTTAAAATCTGCTATGGCAATATTTAACGTTCACTGAAAGGAGGATTATATAAGGTTGATAGACAAAATACTACTCTGATTTGTTAGCAAAAACATTTTGATAGAATGGACTTAATCCCCCTTTACTCAAAGCCTCTGTGCAATTTGCCTAAAATAGATCTCTGAAAGCCTTAGAAGGTAAAAGAAAGGATGCTACTTTAAAGCACTTTTGAATTTTGCCTGTACATGAGTACAAAACCTCACCTACAGAAAAAGTTCATGATTTTTTAAAAAAGGGAATGGGCATGGGGACTCCTTTGTCTCCTTCTTTAAATTCACAAAAGGCAGCCTCATAGACTGGGAACAGTAAAAAGAGCTTCCTGTCCAGAGGTCTTATCTAAACTCTAAAACTCACTGCCGTCAAGTTGGATCTGACTCATAATGACCCCTTCTTGGGTTTCTGAGGTGATATCACTATGGAAGTAGATTACCCAAACTTCCCTCCAAGGAGTAGCTGCTGGGTTTGAACCACCAACCTTCTGGTTGGCAGTCACGTGCCTTAGGCACTATGCCACCAGAGCTCCCAAGGTCTTATCTAGGAATATCCGAAGTACCAAAGTTTCTGCTTGAAGTAAACACACTTGAAAATGTAATCACATGAGAAGTAAAATCAAAAGTTTAAATCAGGAGTTTATCTTTTAAGTAAACATTTATGATAGCTTTAGATGATCTATCTTCCCCAACTACCTTTCCTTTTCAAAATCTTTAAAGACAATAATTGGCACAGATTACATTAATTAATAATTGACACACTCTTAAAGTGAAGCCAATCAAAAAAAGATGTGCCCTTTACGGAAAATGTAGGTCAGGGGCAGACCTACCGCACAGGCAGAGAGATTTCCGCCTCCTGGCAAGCCAGGAATGTTTCCGTAGATTTAGTTTCACCTTCTTACCCTCTTCCTCACTTGCACACTTCTCCTCTCCCACCACTGTCTGACCAACAAAGCCTGTGCAGTGTGAGAGCTATAGATGAGGTTTTTTTTCTTAATTCCTTTTCCTCAGACCTGGCTCAAAAATACTTTCCAGGCCTCCCTTGATGGTTATTTAATCCTGGGCCTCAAAAAATGCCAACCCACCACCATGAGAGGTGCTTGGGCTCTGCAACAAGATCCCACTGTCCCAGCAGCCCAAGGACACACTTAGTGCAAGTCATATGAATATTCTGAAACTTGGGCTTCTCTGGAATCCTCTTCTGAGTACACAGACACACACTTCTTCAACTGGGAGGCCAAATCCACCATCTGAACTACAGAACATTTTCTGCGTGGTGACTCACCCCATTCTCTGCTAGTCTTACACATTCTCAATTTCTCAATTCCTTTTTTTTGAAATGGCATAAATATATTGCTCACAGTTATTTCTCTCTCTCTCTCTTTTTTTTTTTTTTTTTTGTGCCTGTTTCCTGGTACTTCTTTTTAAAAAAATCTGGAAAATAATAGTACTTCCTGTATATGAGAGGGCAAACAAGAGTTTCTGTTTTTATTTGGCTAACTAGCTTTTGGCCACATTTGGGCTGTGGTACTGAGAGCTTCACAGTTGAGCGAGATGGGGGCCCAGGACAGAAGAACCGGATACTGAACACCTTGCTCCAGTTCATCCCATGTCTGTGGAGTGGGATAACCAAAACCCAAACCCTTTTATGGATTCCAGAAGAAGGCCTGGCCCTGTGCTCCCCCCACACACACACACCCATTTTGGTCTCATCCAAAATTCTGTGCTTTAAAAATTATAGGTGGCAAAGTCAAGGAAACAGAGTTTTCTCCCCCCACAGTCACCCATCTATGTAAGTAGATTACAAGTGAGTCCCAGCTCAGAGACTTTTATATCTTCTAAGATCTTAGCAGGGATTGCAGATTGCCTTGAAAGAGGAACTCTCTGGTTGGATATATTTAAAGGTAAGATTGTTTTGAACTGTGAGAAGACAAATAGGATAAATTTCAGCCTTTTTCTGGAAGATATATTTAAGTGAGTTTTGATCTATGAAGTTTAAGGAACATGGATTAGATTTTTCTATCTAACCCTCCAAACTCTTTCTTCTCACACAACATTTATTAATACTTTAAAAATGGATGAAAATCACACATACAGACACATACCCTTTGCGGACTACAATTTAATTTTTCTGGAAGACACAGCTGCTGAAATCACCACAATCCAATAAGTTGTTGAGGTAGCTTCACGCAGTGGTTTATCTTTTCTGTGTTAATAGAAACCCCAGAAGTCCTTCTATGCAGTTGTAGTGTTAAAATACTCATGGGAAGACCAATTACAGCTAGTCTTTGGTTTTAGTTCTCTTTGGTCAGACTTAAATTGTCCAACACTTACGTAGAGGGTAAAAACTGTCCTGCGTAGTTCGTGCAGATTCAATTCAAGTTGGTTGTAAGGAAGATGGTGGGTGGCCATTGCTTTGGATCAGCTTTTCCTTGCCGAGCACTGCCTGCTAGGGAAACTGCTTACATCCAGTGATACTGCCACAGCTCTTTGTCTGGCCATGGGGTAACTACTTTGGTCATCACTCTGATGTCTGGAATTAGCTGGTATCAATTGCATGGCTTTTCTTTTTCTTTGTGGTAAGCTGGCTTCAAAAAATTAACTGTCACAGTCCTCTTCTGTTCCTCAGTTAACAGTAAACTTTAAAGGGTCCTCTATGGTGTTGATTTTTGGACTACGTTGCCCACTTAGCCCCAGAGATAGTCATTTCTTTGAGAGGAAAAAAATAAAGAATATGGCTTTAGTTTCTACTGAAGTTTTCTTCTTGCTTCTTCAGCTTCTGCTGTAGCAAAGGTCTAAGTAACAATTACAGAAAAGACTCTATGGTGTTGCCCAACATTTTAAAAGCTACTATGGAGTAAATCAAGTGTACATACAGCCTAAGTGTTTTTTTAAGATTCTTTTTTTCCCTACCCCTTTTCAAAAAAGAGTAAATTCAGAAGCCTCCTATCAAAAAATAAAAATGATTGTGAGAATCTTACAGTGAAAAGAATACATTAACTCAGATCTTTTTTTTTTTCCCTTAGTCTTATTATAAAATACTTATTTTTCTCGATTCCAAGATGCCATCAACTGCACTATCCACTCAAGGACAATTTTACAGGAAATAAAAATAAGTAACCATATCAAATGCATACATCATCAATTCATAGATGTTGGATGCATCCAAACTTCAGGAAATACAATAAGAAAAAGTAGATGTTTTCCACTTGAGGCCATGTGATATTTTTTTGAAAATGGAGAAATTGTGTCAGTTAATGTAGAAAGCATTTAAGCCAGCTCTGTACACAAAGCAGCGCTGGCTGGAATATAATCTCCCTCCATGAAATACTGCCCTTCCTCCCCACAGACTCTCCCCATGGTGTACCTTTTAATTCTCTTTATTTTTTACTGTATTTCCAAATGAGAGGATCCCAGAGCTTCAAATATGTCTTTCTAGTGCACTTACACATAAAAAAATCACTGAAGAAAAGTATGATCACATTTGCTTTGGCATCAAAAGCTATAGAGATGAGGGCACTAGCACGCCCCCTGCCCTCTGAGGGATCCCAGCTGGCTGTGAATCCCGCTGCTGTTTTGTGCTGCTGAGGGAAAGGGCAGTTTTCCAAGTACGGTAGTGCCCCCATGTGGCAGCATGCCCCGGAAAGTGCAGAGAAATGATGGGTGCTGATCCCGGTCACTTTTTGTTTTCCCTCTCTCCTCACTCAGGAGCACAAGTATGTTTGACATGCGGTGTGAGGAGGAGGCTGTGGTGCAGCCACACAGCAGGGCCCGCCAGGAGCAGCTGCAGCTGATAAATAACCAGCTGAGGGAAGAAGATGACAAGTGGCAAGACGTGAGTACAGGCCAAGGCCCCAAGCAGTGGGAGGCCGCTCAGCATGATAAGTTAGAGGCCCTTTGGAGCAGAAAATCAGCTCCAAAGGTGGATTGACTTGGACTTGAAAGCCATGCAGGAGACCTTAGATTGGGGAGGGCTGTTGAGAGAGAGCCCATAGAGGATTTTAGACAGTGACACAGTAAATGTGGGAATTAAAAGAAGGTTAATAGTCTGCCTATTGAGGAGTGAATGACATAGATTATGCAGTCAGCTAATACCTTTGCTAGAAGCTTGGCCACAAAGGAGAGTGGAGTGAGGGAGAGGTGCCTGGAATGAAATATAGGATTGACAGTGAGTTGTCTTTTGAAAGTCAATATTTGAAATATTGACGATGATGATAATTGCCAACACTGAAAGTATACCAGTGCCAGGCACTGTTCTAAGTACTTTGTACAGATCAATTAATTTAATCCTCTTAGTAACCCAACGAGCTAGGAACAATTATTGCTCCCAATTTCAGTCCCAAAACAGCTAATTAACTTGCCCCAGGTCACACAGTTAGTGAGTGCAGTAGCCAGGGTTTGAATCAGGGAAGGAAGCTTCCAGAGCCTGCTGAGGGCCCTGAAGGTGTGCTGAGAGAGCAAAGACCCAGGGCAGGTGACAGGGCTTGACAGCAGAGATGAGAGGAAGAGTGGGTTATTTCATTTCATCCTCGTGGAGCATGCTTGGGGAGTGACTCCAGATTTGACTCTACCATTAGGCAAAAAAGTTGTCCAGAGTCAGTAAAATGTAGTAATAATTATGTCTACAATATATTGAACACTTACTCTCTGCCTGGAACCGTGTATGTTATCTCATCTAACAAAAAACCTGTGAGAGTAGGTGCTATTATCATCCCATTTTAGAGATTAAGAAATTGAGGTACAGAGAGACTAAGGAACTTGCCTGAGATTCCAAACCATGGAGGAGATAGAGGTGGGATTATTCCCCTGAGCTGCAAATCCCATCCATTTGACCCCAGAATCCTAACTCTTCATTGTTATAATGTAATTTCCTATAGGATTTGTGGGGAAGTTGTTGTAAGGATCAGATGAATAAATGCATGCAAAATCATCAGGCTGTAAGAACCCAAAGCCAATTTTTTCCCACGTTTTCTTCCTTCCTTAAGGAACCTCTCTGGGCCTGTGGTAATCCTTAACTATTCTCTTGTCAGCAAGATCAGAATAATCTCCATTCACAGTGCAAAGGTCATAAATAGAGAGGAAGTTTCTTATAATTACATAAGCAAATTCGCTAAAAATTGCCCATATTTCATATTCTCTCTTTAAACAAATGTGCTTCCCTGCTATGAAAAAATGTAGGTAGTATGTGAATGTTCCACGTCCTTGAGGCATTCCTGTATCAACCGGACATACATTGGATTGTGTGGGAAAGTTCTAACACAGTGCCTGGCCCATAGTCAGTACTCACTAAGCTCTGAATAGTAGAAATGAAATTATGTGCAAACCTGAAGAAAAATATTCTCTCTTTCTCCCTGCAGGACCTGGCTCGATGGAAGAGCCGCAGAAGAAGTGCTTCTCAGGACTTAATCAAGAAAGAGGAAGAAAGGAAAAAAATGGAGAAGTTACTGGCTGGTGAAGATGGAACAAGAGAACGAAGGAAAAGCATCAAAACCTACAGAGAAATTGTTCAAGAAAAGTGGGTTCTTTCTATTGTGTTTTTAAATGTACAATTTATGTAGATGTGCTCTTTTTCTAAACCTTGTTGGTTTTCACAGGCTCTGACAGCAACGTCTTAAACGTTCTGTGCCATCCCTTCCATTCCACCTTGGTTCCTACCAAGGCCTTCTATGCAATTTTAATGGCTGTTAACTCTATCATTGCTTCCCCCTCTCACACCCAATTTTCAGAGAACGGAGAGAGAGAGAGTTGCATGAGGCATATAAGAATGCTCGGTCCCAGGAGGAGGCAGAGGGGATCCTTCAGCAGTACATTGAGAGATTCACCATCAGCGAGGCTGTTCTTGAACGCTTGGAGATGCCAAAAATTCTGGAAAGAAGCCATTCAACAGAGCCAAACTTATCCTCCTTCTCAAACGACCCCAACCCCATGAAATACCTGCGGCAACAGTCACTGCCTCCACCCAAATTCACTGCCACTGTTGAAACCACCATCGCTCGTGCCAGTGCTCTGGATACCAGCATGTCAGCAGGCAGTGGGTCTCCAAGCAAAACTGTCAGTCCCAAAGCAGTGCCTATGCTGACACCCAAGCCTTACACCCAGCCCAAAAGCTCTCAAGAGGTTCTGAAGACCTTTAAGGTAGGATGAGTTCCTTAAGAGTAGAATGCAAACAAAACTCCAGGTACTCAATGGAGAGAGACATCTTGTCTCAAGAAAATGCAATTATTTTTACCTAGCAGAACTAAAATATGTTAAAATTTGCATCTGTGAAGTTTATCTGTCTCAGGATATTTGGGTTTGCAAATAATTAAGAAACCCCAGTTACTGTGGTTGGTCCTGTTGGACTCCAATGAGATTGATGGTTGGGTCAGTCCCATGAGCACAGTCTATTTTCTAGTTTGATATAACAGCATGGTATCTATACTGGTTCTTGTTGAATATACCCTTGAGTCAGTTTTGACACATGCAATTCTACAGGACAGAGTAGAACTACCTTAAAGGGTTTCTTAGCCTGTAATCTTTACAGGACCACATCACCAGATCTTTCTCCAGTGGCCCACTGGTGCGTTCAAACACTGACCTTACAGTTAGCAGCTTAGTGCTTAACCATTGCACCACCAGGGCCCCTTAGTAGTAGCCAACCATAGTATGGTAACATTGTTCATGAGTTGCAATTGACTTGGCAGCAAGTGTGTGTGTGTGTGTGTGTGTGTGTGTGTGTGTGTGATATCTCCAGACATTTAGCAGTATTGAAAGCTCAGAGTATAACATTTTAGTTGACTTTGGTTTAAATAGTCCTATAGGCATCTGTCTGACCTCTCTTTTAAGAAGAAATTGACATCAGATCCAAAAAGATGCTAAGATTGCAATAGTAATAATACAAGAAATACATGGAATATGGGATATACTTGGTCCTTAGATAAGACAAGTTTTATTTTTCAAATGGAAGAAATGATGGGGCACTAGGTTGTGTTTACTGGTAAATGTGTAAAATAACGTTCTAGAACCAAAGAACCTATAATAACCAACCATCTTCCCATTTCTTCAAGCTCCAGTATTTCCCTCACATTCAGAAACATTTCTCCCCTGTTGAAAGTTCTTTTGACTATAAAGAAAAATCAGTTTTCATTGTCAGCCTGTGTTTCATTCACACAGGTTCACAATAGAAGACAGAAGTGGAATACTTCAGAGGAGGCATGAACATCGTCATTACAAAAAGTTTGCTAAACCAAACTGATTGAGCAATATGATGTCATTCATCTTCCTTATTAAATTTCAGAGGGCACAAACCATACTTTCTGACTTTTGCTTAAATGAATCTGAATGTATCTTAAAAATCTGTGCTTCAAGCATTGATAGAATAATAGAAAGATGCCTTGGCTGTCTTATCTGCATTGAACTGGATGTATGTCCCTTTCGTGACAGGGCCTGTCCCCTTATAGCTTCATCCCCAATGCCTGGCATAAGTGGCTAGGATATAGTAGGCACTCGGCAAGTGTGTATTGAATAAATAAGTGAATCTTCCCTGAGAAGATAAGCTCCTAAGCATGCAGACACATCCCACACAAATATGCTCATGCCCACGCATGCTCAATGGTCCACTCCTGTAGCTTTCCCTCACCTACAGTCTAGGATGATGAACCGTCTGTGATATTTCAGGAAGGAAGGTCTTATACTGAGGTGGCCCAGCACAGGCATAGGGAATAATTTCAATTAACTTTGTACCTAAGGCCTCTGACCAGATAATTTAGATGTCCAGTTTTTCCTCCTTTATGTAAATAGTACATTGTGAGAGTTTATAGAACTATTAGGATAGCTAGGGAGACTTTGCTTTAGTTTTTTCCTGGGACTTTTTTAGGTGGAGAAGTACTGGAGAAGTAGTTGTGATATCACCTTATGTTAGGCTAATCTATTTCAATGCAGTCCTAGAGTTACCTCAACCATCTGAGTAGCTTTGCAAAAACAAGTTGTCCTCGAGTTGATTCCAACTTATGGAACCCATGTACATTAGAGGGGAACTGTCCTCTGTAGGGTTTTCAGTAGCTGATGCTGCAGAAGCACATTGCTGTGCCTTTCTTCCAAGGCAACTCTACGTGGACTCAAACCTCCAACCTTTCGGGTGGCAGCCAATCACATTAACCATTTGCATCCCCCAGGGACTCCAGAAGTTACTTTGCAGGATTCACTAAAATGAGCTACTTATATTCTTACACCTCCCACTTAAGGCGTCATCCCCATGCAAAAACACAGCCATTTTGAAAGGCACAGAGGAAATCTGATTGACTTCATTTAGAAATGAATGTGTGTATGAGTGGTCTGGGCCTCAGGCCCTGCTTTCTCTGCACCATGGATTTTTCCTTCTCTCCAGGTGTTCGCATGATACGCTTCTAATGTGTTTGGCTGTGTTACATCCAAGGCCAACTTCTCCTGATTCTGAATGTGTTATTTCTTTTTTTACAGTCTTTGATTGGGGAATAGCGTGTTTTTGTTCATCCTGATTTTTATAGGTAGATGGGAAAGTCAGCGTGAATGGAGAAATGGCTCATGGAGACGAGGAGGAGAAAGAAAGAGAGTGTCTCACAGAGGCATTTGCCCCCTCCTTACCCAAATCCCAGATGTCTGAAGGTGTGGCCAGAGTGCATGGGTCGCCTGTGGAGTTAAAACAAGACAACAATGGCATTGAGATCAACATAAGGAAGCCAAATTCTGTTCCCCAGGAACTGACAGTAAGAACCAAAGCTTTTTTTTTTTTTTAACTTTCCTTGGGATAATTCCATTGTGAAATAATTTCTTTAAAAAAATAAGTAGGTCTTGGTAATGATCATCTTCTTTGTGGGGTATAATAATACCAGTTATTATGTCAAGTCCAACTCATCATGACCCCTTTTGTGTCAGAGTAGAACTGTGCTTCAGTGTGTTTTTATGATGCAATGAATTACTTAACATGGTGCTTCTAGCCATAGTCTTTATAACTCCCAACAATAATTGGGCAGGACTACGGAAATGTCAGGTGCTTGTGGCCCACCACAGGTATTGAATAGCTTGCTAATAAGGTAAATAAGGTGCATGACACCTTTGTGGCAGTGGGACCATGCAAATTATGGGGGCATTGGTCAGTTTTGCCATCCTGCTAGGCTTAAGATGAGCCATCCCAGAGGCAGAAAGGGGGATCTCACTACCATCAAGAAAGAAGAGCCAGGAGTAGTGCATATCCTTTGGACCCAGAGATGAACCGCCTAGACTCACAAGACAGACAGACAGCTGTAACAGTTTGCTGAGATGGTAAGAAATGATGAGAAGCACCAGCAGAGAAATGATGGCAGCAGAAGCAAGAGACCCAATAGGAGATAGCACAGTGGACTTCCAGACCCATGGAGTGAGAAAGCTGAGCACCTTCAGGCAGGAGACTTGCTGGCAGAGTGGGGTACCTCTAGGCATTTATCAGTGAGCTAAAATAGCTTTGTAATACTTGCCCCAGCACAGCAGAGGCCAAGGGTCAGTGAGGCATGCCTGAGGCCACTGCTGAGAAAGGGCTGTCCTGACCAAAACACTATATCCCGAGTTCTGATCCTGAATTGTAACCTGTTACTTCCCTAATAAACCCTGTAATTGTAAGTACTTTCTGTGAGTCCTATGTGGCCATTGAAACATATTATCGAAACCACTAGAGAAGTAGAGTGCCATGGGTGGGACAGTTGGTGTCAGAATTGGTAAAGAGGTTGCAGGGGGCAGGCATGTTTGACCTCCATCCCAAGGGCATCATCCTTAGGCTATTGATGTTGATCTTGATCTTCTTCTCCCTCATGAAGTTAGAGGAGCTCAGACACCTCCACCACACCAGTAATGTTTTTGCAGTTTTCAATGGCTGGTTTTTCAGCAGCAGACCACCAGGTCTTCCTTCTGAGGTACCTCTCAACCCTTTAGTTAGCAGCCACCACATTAATGTTTTTATCACCCAGGGGTGATGTATAGAAGGAATAATGTAATTTGTGAATGAGAAATGACTTTTCTTGTCTTCATACTGTTGATGTCTAGTGTTAAGGAAAAATAAGTAAGCCTCTAGAATACTTTCATTTTTTTCTGTTTGTTTTGGACTCTATTAGAATAGAATAGTTAATGGGAGCTCTGGTAGCGTAGTGCCTAAGGTATTTGACTACTAAGCAGAAGGCTGGTGGTTCAACCCCACCAGCCACTTCTTGGGAGGAAAGTTGGGCAATCTACTTCCTCGGAAACCCAAGGAGGGGTCACTATGAGTCAAATCAAATCAACAGCAGTGAGTTTGGTTTATTTTTTTCAGAATAGTGAATAGAATTTGAAAAGAATCAGTACTGTCAGAACATGGCTTTCCAATCTTAAACCAAAAATAACCCAAAAAAAAAAAATTGTTGCCATTGAGTCAATTCTGATTCATGGCGACCCCATGTGTTGTAGAGTAGAACTGCACGCCACAAAGTTATCATGGTTGTGACCGTTCAGAAGATGACCAGGCCTTTCTTCTGATGTACCTCTAGCTGGATTTGAACCTCCAAACCTTTGGTTAGTAGCCCAGTGTTAAACCATTGGTTCCACAGGTACTCTATTCTTAAGGATGTGTATAAAAACATCATTTTCTTTTTAATTTAAACAACAGCAACAACGAAACAAAACAAAACAAAAAATCCTTAGTAAAAAAAAAACTATTTTTGTCAGCTTAACCCATTAAATTTGGAAAAATTAAAAGCAGTATTAGATGGCCAAGCTAAAAATTGTAGGGTAATTCAAGAACAACAGAAAACAAAACTCAAAGTAACATCACATTTTCCAGATGGGAGTATAAAATGTCAATGTGAAAATTACACTTTTCTTAGATCTCGCACCCAAAAAACTCTACAGATTATGCTGACCAAACGAAAACCATCACTACTCTAGACACAGCCCAGCTTTGGAGTTTAAGCTGGACTCTGCCCAAACTCATTTGTCCTCACCAATTTATAGTGTTTGGGTTGAATTACAGGATGTGAAAAATTGTCAAGATTCTCCGCCTAGCACCTGGAGAAGTTTGGTTCAGTTGTATTCCAACTCCAGGGCTAAGAGTTAAAAGACATTGCTAACTAATACCCAGTCAGCAGAGTGGCTATTATTTTTCTTATCTCTGCAGTTGTCTTTTGAAGAATAAAATTATGTTTTCTTAGAGGACTTGAGAGGTTGTAATTCTTCCCTGCAGTGCTCAAAGGGATCCAGAAAGAGATTTCTATTGGAATAGACCAAAATAATTTCCTCACCATGGCAACATGTTTCTTAGTCTCTGGGAGCAAAATTTTGCGATCCAGGCAAATGCTGTCTCTCTACCTAGAATTTAATTTCACTTTTCATTTGCATGTTACCATCTCTAAGGAGTTCTTACAAATTATCATGGGATAGGACAGTAGAGTTCTGCTTGCTCTATGGGAATGTTACTGGTAGAATAACTACTTTGTTCTTAAATTTAAATTAGAAACTCCCCAAATAATAAGATCTTGCAAGGACAGAATTGCTTTTCTAAGACAGGTTAGGAATTCTGTTCTTACTTCTCTTTGGCTACACTCTCTGATAGGCATTTTCTCAATTCCCTTCCTAAACACCCTTCTTTTCCTCAATTTGGTTATTTTGCCTATCCGGCCCCAGGCCTTTTGCACAGACTGCCAAGCACTGCTCTTGCTCAATAGATTTGGAACAGCAACAGTGCAAGTGGCCATACTTCCCCCACAGCACCAGCCACATAACAGAGGTGGTCAGAGTTTAGGTCAGGCCCAGCAGATTTTATTAAAACAAATCTTCAGGGTTCTGCTATCAGGCATGTATCTGTACCTCTCATCAGTTCTGCCATCTGACCAGCTTGTTGTTTGAATTTGGGGAAAACCCTACGTTGACTGAATAGATTTTACTTCTGACAGAAGTTAAAGGAACAAGTAAAGACATCAGAAGTTACAAAGAACAAGTAGATGGTCTAAACTCCATTAACAACTATTTCATCTCTCTTGTTTAAGTTTTTAGTCCATTTGGGGAAATCTATGACTGACCTGTATGAAGCCTAGGGCATTAAGCCCCACACTCCTAAAGCAGAAGAAGAGAGTTTGTTTGATTTGTTTTAGAAAACTAAAACTTACCTCAAAAAGTACATTTATTCTCAGTAATACTAATTATCTTATTTTTACAACAAGCAAACTAAAACAAAAGGTCTTTTCTCTCTTAATCCCAGATATTTCCCATTTAATGGTAGTTGCACTGCTAAACTCCCAAAAGGCATCGAGAAAATTGTTATTTCACCCCCTTCCCCTTAAGTGTCTTGTTTTGAGAACAGAAAAAGGAGATGATCCCAAAGCAATCATATTATTTTAGGAATCTGTCCACTGTAACAAGAATTCCAAACAAAACGTGGTCTTATAGACTTTCTTCCCGGAAACCGGCTTCATCTTGGACAGCCTGCGGAGGCAGGTTCAGACTGCAGGAAAAGCCTGGGGAGTTGCTTTGTCCATGTATTTCTTCGTTGAAGGAACTGCCTAGTTTGGAGGGTTTCTAGTTCAGTAAACCTTTTGATTCTGAACAGGTCCAGTGCCAGTTGCTCTCGAGTTGCTTCTGACTGGTATTGACCCCCTCTGTTGACCCCATGTATGTCAGAGTAGAACTGTGCTCCATGGGGTTTTCAGTGGATCATTTTTCGGAAGTAGATCACCAGGCCTTTCTTTCGAGGTGCGTCTGGGTGGCTTGAATCTCTAACCTTTTGGTTAGTAGCCCAACACCTAACTTTGCACCACCTAGGGACTCCATCCTGAGTAAATGTTGCTGTTGTTGTTGGGTGCTGTCGAGTCAGCTCTGACTCATAGTGACTCTATGTACAACAGAGCGAAACACTGCCTGGTCCTGCACCAGTGCTATACCTGACTGCATTGTTTCAGCCAGTGTGTTAATCCATCTTGTTGAGGGCCTTCCCCTTTTTTGCTGACCCTCCACTTTAGCAGCATGATATCCTTCTCCAGGCATTGGTCTCTTCTGACAACATGACCAAAGCAGGTGAGATGAAGTCTGGGCATTTTCGCTTCCAAGGAGCATGCCGACTGCACTTCTTCCAGGAGAGTTTTGTTAGTTCTTCTGGCAGCCCACAGTCTTCCTTATTCATTGTCTACCTTTCACATGCATGTGAGGTGATTGGAAACATCATGGCTTGGGTTACGTGCACCTTTGTCTTCTGAGAGACATCTTTGCTCTTCAGCACTTTATTTCTGAATAAATAGTAGCATATATATCCTGCCTCTGATACTTTAAGCTATTGAATTAACTATAGCAGGGAATATTGCATGATTTTCTGGGTAGTTAATTACCTATGTATATTTATTAGACTATAAGAAAAGTTATTAGCTGTACTTCACAGGACTTTGGCTCATTACAAAAACACTCTTCATACTTGCTTGCGACTTGTGACACCAAAAGTTTCCATTCAGAATGTGTTATTCCTAGATTCCTTTTAAAGAATTCCTTCTCTGGTAAACCTCCACCTCATTTTACTTATGTCTTCATTATTCAAAGGAAAGCACTTATTTATTGTACTATAATCAAGATTTTGGTATTGACAAAGCAGAATTAATTGGTCATGGTAAAATATGGTGACAAGCTTAAAACAAGAAGCTGTACTTCAGAGCCTCTTTGGGATGGATACCAGCTTAGACTTGATTTTCTGTTCCTAGTTCCCTTGCCCAGTTCTGTGGGGCTA